CGAGCGAGGAGCGCGACGCCAAGCGGCCCCGCCTCGCGTAGTGCTACCGACACTTTCAAGGAATATAAAGCCATCCGTCTCGCTAGCTGTGCACCACGTCCCGATGACTGAAATGTAAGAGAAATATTATTACAAATGCAGCCTGAGATTTTATGTTTTTGATGAATGAATGACGCTTTAACTGCAGCAGTTAATTTTTTTATTTAAATAAAAGTCCAAATTTTGTAATGCAAGTTCCTTTGGTCTTGGATGTTTAAAGCAATGGTGATCACTTAATTTTTAGGTGATCTGTACTTGGATACTCCATTTAAATAGAATTAAAAACACTAATATTTCCGTGCATTATATTTAGTTGCATAAAATCTCAAGCTGAAATGGAAATATTAAATGGTAGTTGTAGATACATGTATGGTCCGATGTTGCGGTGATTTACCTAAGAGCTGAGTTTTCATTTTTTGTGTAAATAAGTGACTCGGGTTGTGTCAGCTCCACGTAACTGAACTTGTTACAAATGTTGACATGGAAACGTAGAACAAATTTTACTTTTTGATGAGTGAAATGTAAGAAAATAATTTTAACGGTTAGGTTAGTTATCTGCGGGAACGTAATCACAAAAAAAGTACAAAGCAATTTTCGAATGAGGTTTTTATAATATAAATAATGATGTAATGAAATAACACCGTGGATCGGAAATTGATGTAAAAATGTGTATGTATTTGTATTGATATGAAAAAAAATATTTAATTTGTCGACAGACACGTGACCAATTTTTTTAAAGTATTAAATTCTACATAGCGCTGTGGAATTGCTACTCAGTAGTGTGTATTTTTGTATATCTATTAACTCACAAATTAATTTGGTTATGATTTCTATCTGTTCGTAAATTATAAGTTTTTTACGTGTGTTGTTTAATTATATAAATATATAATATTTTGGTTTGTCTGACGCGAGCATGATTGTGATAGCTGTAGTTCCGTGTCATTCGCATTATTTATTTGCAACACTTTTTGCATTCGTATGCCTGTATTGAGCTTCTGAGAGAGAAAAAACATTTTACTATTGTCAGTTTTTTCAAATCATTTCATAGAATTTTTTTGTGATTAAAAATTGTAACTTAAAGGTATTTTTTTTCTCATAAATAATAAATTAACTCATTTTTTTTTAAATCAAAACAACTGCTGATAAAAACAAATAATTTTGTAATATAGATGATAAGCAGTATTAACCTACATGACAAAATTCTGTTTTATTTGTACAAAAACATTTTTTGACATTTTCCGAAAATCTTTGTTTTCGGGAAATGTTGAATTGTGTTTTTTCACACGATAGTAAAATTACTTCTATCATTATGATTTTTTTATTGTTTTTCGTCTCCGAGAAGCTCAAACAATTATATGGATAGCTTTTTACTGCTTTATTGTTGACGGATGCATTTTGATGTGGATCTCTTTACTTTTAAATTAAAAAAAATCACTAGTTCCTGCAAAAAAAGCACTTTAAGTGCCACTGACTCATATCGCGAGTTCATTTTAATACGTAAAATGAAGTGGCATTGGTAGTGTTAAATGATAGTACAGGGATCCATATCTTTATGCCAAGATAAATGCCACGGAGAGCACGTGCTTCTATAATGAAAGAAAAATCTTACATTTTCTTTCTTTTTTTTTACTGATGTCTGCTTAATTATCAAACTGCAGAAATGTAATTGTGAATTAACTTGAACCCTTTAATCTGTAGGTTCTTATCGATTTGCGTTACTATAATTTGTAAATATAACACTTTTATCACTATATAAAACTTGGTTCTGGTTGTAGGTTTCAATATGAATAATGAAATTAGGTGCTAAGCCATCATTTGATTTACAAAACTGAATTTCGGATTATTTTAAGATTTTCTTGCATTTTCGCAATATTTTAGTTTAACTACGAACATTATAATCATTAATAACTGCAATTTAAACACAAAGGCTTCGGATCTGTACGTTTTAATGTCCAATGCCACCAACTGGCACGGTGGCATTCAAACAATAAAGTTGTGGCATGAAATGTATTAAAGTAAATGTCATTAAAACATAAATTTCAGTTTAGAAGTAACCTACTTATTTTGGGAAGTTGGTTAATAAAGATTGATTTGCTTTAGTAGATACTCGTATCATGCACAAAGCTTGTATATAGTGTGTTTTAGTTAAATCATTTAATTTGTAATGCTTCTAATCATTGAACTGCTGTCAGATGAGATGCTTGTGATAAACAAATGATGAATGAAAAAGGTTGTTTTAAGATTGATATTGTCTATGAATAATTATTTATACAGTATGCTTTGTAAGACTTTGGTATTGCAATATGTGCAAAATTGAACTCTACACCTGAAATAGTAGTTTTTGTAGTGAAATCAATATGAAATCGAGCTTAGTACTTTGATAGCAACTTGTTTCCGACCGTAAAAGAATAGAGAGCATTTAGAGTACACTTTAGCAAGAAACACATTGTCATTTATATAGAAAAGCTAGTTTTAAAAGCAATTTTATTAGCATTCTAAAGCTCTCCCAAAAGTATACGCGTTTTTACAATTTATGTTCATTTTTTTAAGTTTTTTCTATGATTGTTTTTTTTAAATGGTTAAACATGTATTGATTACCTACTCAAAACCTAACCGTTATGACCCAAAGCCAAGCGTCTGCCCTATGAATACATATCAATTTATACATTTGATCTCACATTTACAAATTTTGAGGCATCCATCCAACAATATCTATTCATGTTAGTAAAACCGTTAAATTGGATAAAAAAATAAAATTATAATTGGATGTTATTGGTATTTTGATTTATTTTCTAATGGAAACAATATGACTAGGTGAGATTCCAAAGTAATTTCGCCTCTAGTCAATACTAATTGTTCTGGACCATATTTGCTACGAACCAACGAATTAGGGGGTTTTCAAATTCTATAGTAGAAACACGTGCTTGCCATGTTATACGCGGGAATGGTCCATATATTGTATGTCTGAAGGTATGCTATGAAAAACAAACACACGTTGAATTGACATGAAGATCGATCTCTTGGTTTTTTATCCAATGGACTGAAAATCTGTCTGTCTTGTTGATTGTCATGTCCTTCGATCTTTATGGCAATTCATGACCTCAGCCAATATCTAGTTTTGGATAATTTGATTGATATAAAAACACAATAATTTATATTCTAACCTGGAAATGTGCGATATTTGTTTTACTTATTTATTATCTGTGACGTGATTTTTAAATATAAAAGTGGTGGACGTCGATGACGTAACGGATGCACAGTGTAGGCGAGGCGTTTTATTACATACGTGGAATGAATTTGTCAGAGATATTGTAAATATATAATGTTTTATGTGTAATAACTTTATTTTGAGGTCTGCAAATGTCCACGTGTATAATAATACAACAATAGCTGTCAATTAGATTTTTAACGAATCTTATATTCCTTGAAATAACTTCCTCCCCCGGTAACGTTTTAGATAAAAGTAGACTGTAACGATGACTATTTTTTATCTGTCTAGGTGGATGACCATCATAAACTAATTTATACACAGATTAAAATTAAAAATAGATTTACCTATTGGCAAGTTGTGTAAAATAAATAAGCTTACTATAATGCTATTATTATTGTCACTAGTTAAGTAAGCAATATAAATATAAGGTAATATGAAATGCTTGTTTTTTTATTTCTTTACCATTTTATAAAGATGGTTGTCTTTTGTGCAAGTTTTCCTGTCATTTAACAAAAGATATAATATAGTTTCCATAGAATTAAGATATTAGTTTTATGAGCTTAAAATAACTCCTAAGAGATTGTTTCAAAAGTGGAAAATAAAACAACATATCGAGTAAAGAATAATTTATGAAGACAACATTAAAGTAAAACATAGGAATATGACACGTTTTCTTAGTCAAATTCTAAAGTCAAACATATAACTGTATCTAGTTTAATTGTGAGTATCGACGACTTCTGCCTTGAGCTTGGAGGCGAGTGCGCGGCGCAGCTGCAAGGCGGTGGGCGGCGGCTGCGGCGTGCTGCCACGGAGCGCCGCCTGCGCCGCGCGCGCCGACCGCGGCCGGCACTTGCCGCCTTCGCCTGCTGTACATAACACAGGGTTATGTTAACTTAGGAAGACACTCGGTGCCGGCTTTAAGAAAGTCGTGGTCCAGGGCGCTGGACAAAAAACGACACAAAACTTTTAGAAATACTGTTTTTACAAAAAGCTCAATTTAAATGGTTGAGGATTACAAAAGGAGGAGGTTTTAAATTAGTCTGTTTTTTATGGGAGGCGGCTGAAAACGATTAAGGATCAACGGCATTCAATGATTTGTTAACAGAGTTAAGGTAGAGTACTGTCAAAAACTGCAGAGTAATTGAGACTATGCAGGAGGATGAACAAAGAGTGTTATTACTGACTGTCTAAGTAAAAGTCAAATTAACAAGGTAATTTACCTCCCAATTCTGAAGGTGTTTCGGCAGCTCCAAGTTGTTTCTCGCGAACTTGTTTTTTGAGTGCCAACAACTTGTCTCTCTGCTGTTTGAGGTATTCCTGTCGGGCTCGAATATCCTCCTCGCTTACCTGTTATTACATATGTTCTATCAATATTTGAGTGACCTTGAGCTTCCACCACACATGTATAAAAACATCTCGCTTCTTCCAAATGAAAGCCAAATTGTTGTGAAAATCCACAAAAACAATTTCGATAAGTAAATTTTGCAACTAGCAATTCGTAACTGTGAATGTATCTATGAAACATACTTCTACTTTTTGAACAGGAATAATCGGTTCGGTGCGCTTTGTCTTCGAAATATGATCACTGTCGTCTTTTTTCTCCAGTTTCGTTTCTTTCTTTTCAATAATCTCTGCTTTCTTATCAAATGTTTGTAACTTAGAGAGTAGACTCTTTTTCTCCACCACGACGTCTTCCGGCGGCACAGCGACTGCGTCATCCGTACCCTCAACATCGTTCAACTGGAGCCTGGGTAATTAAATAAATATACCAGTGTATTTTCATGACCTACTTATATTGTGGACATGTGGATATTATTTTAGGACTAAAGTACTGACCGCGCTTTATTTAATGAAAGATAACAGATATTTGCATATTTTACATGACGAACAAAGGGTTGGGCTTTACAGACGAATATATTTAACGTCAATATAATTATGTAAAATATCTAGTTTTGAGTTTAACCCTTAATTTGATACTGTGACGAACAATTAATTTTAAAAGTCTACTGAACTAGTTGTTTCATATCCAAAATATGACTAAGTATTAAGGGTTAAAAGTTATAATTGTTTTAATTCGTTTTAAGGCTATGACGTGGGTTGAAAATTATAGTTCTGATGCTTACTTTTTAATTTCTGTCATTACGTCATCATTGTCTTGCCAACCATCCTCTTCTTCACTTCGTGAGGTATCTAGATCTTCAGAATCAGATGAAAATAGATTCGGTAATACTCCGTAGCGCCGTTCGATGAGTTCCAGTGCCTAGAAAATAGTAAAGTCGCTAGCGTAACAGTTAAGAAAATACTTTTAAAGCAATTGCTCCATTTTATTTCTCAAGACCAATTCCAATTTCATTATTTAAACCAACCTGTAGTTGAAGTTCAACATTCTTGTGAGTCATCATTTTAACGAACATGTCGTAATCATTGGCTGCCCAGATTTGTTCAAACAACCGCTTGTGGAAATACGCTGGTAGGTCAGCGAGATCATGAGCAGATATGCGACAAGCAGCTTCGAACTGGTCAGCAGAAATCCCTATATCGTCCATAAACGATCCCAGCATTACGTCCACCTAAACAATAACATTCTACAAATAAAATCTAATATTCAGTTAAAAAATACTGTACAAAGCGAAAATGTTTACCAAGTTACGATATTCGTCGTGGATCTTTTTATATTCTGGCCTGTCTATTACTTCTCCTGAGTCAGTCGGTTCAAAAGCTAAAAGTAACGAAAAATACATATGAAGAGAATGTACAATCCATACTATTTCATACATAAGCTGCTAGAATCAAACGTATCACGGTTAGTAGCCTGCTTAGCTTCTAAGCCTGGTATACATAAAAATGAACTTACGCAAAGACTTCTCTTCTATAAAGGTTTGTAGAGGTACATTCCAGACAGGACCATGAAGAAAGCCCACTAAGGAGTCAAAGACCCAAGCATTACTATCGGGATCATTCATGTTCATGTATGAGCAGAAGCTATTAACGGCACAAACGTTTAGTTATTGTTAAGTTAGGTAAATCAAGACGCCAATAAGATTTCTTCAATTTTAATGATATTTGTATTATTTGTTGTTATGGTAACTGCTTTTCTTATTGACCATGACCTCGAAAAATGCGCAGTTACATTAAAACCAATTAAAACACGTATGAGTGAATACAGGAAAAGTAGCCGGTTCTTCCCGATGTCATGCAAATACAAATGAGAAGGAATAAGAAGACAAAGGAGTAAGTAATTTTTGAAGCGTTAAATTAAAGTTAGACTTAAATTAGACTTTTTACAAACTCTTACATATGAACATTATTCTTTTAAAGTCTTTAGTTCTTAGAAGCGTTTACTTATTTGTTCCATTAGGGTGAACAAAATAATGTCTTGTTTAGTTTTAAATTGCAACACTTATTTGACAACAGTTTGTCAATGTCACTGTCATTTAAAGTCCGCATTTTCAAAGTTGACATATTTTGTTTGTATTGTATTATTGTATTGATTTTTTCAATTAAAAGATGTAAATAAACAAACTAAATATGGTAGATATAAGACAAGTACGCTATCACAAAAATGTGAACGGTGTTAACTTATGTCTTAAAATTAGAAATCGCACAAGTGCTCCGAATTCAAAGGTTTTCAAAATCTCATTCAAAAATAAGGAACGTAAGGGACATTGGCACAGACTGTCTCTGATTCTAGCTATTATTTTTAATATATTAGCTTTTGTATATATACGAATAAGTGTTACTAATTTACTTGTTATAATAATCGTTTTCTCATTTTTGGCATTCTTTTGGATTACACACAGTGTTCAGTCAGGTTTGTTGTTTAATTATTAACCAATCTTAATCAATTACCAACAAATATATAACAAAAGTATATAAACGGTTTGACTTATGTATTTGATTATAAGTTGGGCTAAAAGTTATTTACCTTTTTCTACATAATTTATGTTTCAGAGTCAATCATTGTGATTCCAACAGTAGGAATACAAAGTTCCATCAAATTTGTTTTTGGTCGAGAAGATGTGTTTGTTCCATGGTCTAACATTGATGACATTGTTATCAATGAAGTTATTAAGTTGGTGAGAAATAAGATAGTTTTCAAGTTTATAATATTTATTTTCCGCTGGTTGCATCAGAATGTTAGTTATTATACACTTATTGGTTAGAAAACTCAGTTTTAGTATATTTATTGTTTCTAAATGCTTCACTCAATTTTTTTATTACTTTACTCTTTGTTTTGTTTCTTTATATTAAGAAGTTTGCTATAAAATTTTATTAATTACTACAAAGGAAATAAATAATAATGTAAATATAAATTGCCTATGTACCGCAGTGGATGACCTAATGCTGTTAATGATGATATAAAAATATTATGTAAAATCACTTGCTTTGTAATAATTGAAGATTTTAAATTCAAGTACTATTAACTATTATTTATAATTTTCATTTCAGAATTGTGTTCTGTACTATCTTACTCTGTTAGTCAAAACTAGTCCAAACCAAAGTAATCAAGATTCATATGGGATAAAGTTAATGCCATTATTTAAGGTAATATTAGTTTGTTATTAAAATTGTACTGTACAGATTAACTTTCCTTTATATTGAATATAGCTTTCGTCTACTACTCCTCTGCATGCAATCTATACTATCTATACTTTTATAATAAAGCGTAAACACACACTTCTTTGTTGCCTAAGATGTCAGCAATTACAGCATATCTTTGAATAATTCTTTTTTTAATAAAAAGCCCTACACTTACGTCACACTTTAGGCTATATATTTCACGCCTTTAAACTTAGGTGGTAAATATTTTGGATAAATACCCTAATGTAGGAAAGAGACCATAACTTGCTGCCAACATCAAGAAAGGTTGCCATGGTTTGTCATAATGTCATGTCATTTTGACATTTGCAATTGATAATTTGACACATGTAAACAACAAAATAAAATTTTCATAATTCTATGCAGATGAAGTCGCACTGGAACAGCTCGTTTTAAGTACAAAAGTATTCACTTTTCTGAAAGTCTGAAAGAACACATAGGCTGAGTAGCCTATGTGTTCTTTCAGACTATCCTCTACATCTATACCAAATTTCATCTAAAACTGTTCAGCCACTTAGACTACAAACTCCATCCATCAATCTAAACTTTTGCATTTATAATATTACTATGACTAGCTGTCATCAAAAGTTAATTAGTAGCCTATGTGTTGTTGATCTAGACTATGTTCTACATCTGTACCACATTTAAGCAAGATCTCCATACATTTATAATATTAGGATATTTGATTGTGACTTTATTTGCAGTATACAAAACCGAGGTTAGTAATGCTAGAAATAATCTACTCCGAGTTCCAAACATTGCTGATGGGTGCACAGCGGGATGGTGTACGAAGTGGCTCTGGAGATGTGGAATAAAGTGTTTAATTAAATGTCTTATGTAGAATACTATAATTTACAATGTTTCTTTTCTTTTGTTAAACATCTATAGAATGCAGATGTTAAAAGTCTTGTTAGAAATGATTAAACAAATATTGTTTTTGTAACATTCCTTATTAATTTATTAATTCATTTAAGTGTATTGTATTTATTCATTATTAATAATATATAGTTTAAAAAGAACATTATTATTTGACTGGATGGGACTCTTCAGTGCCAGCCCTGGCTTTTGACAGAACTTTCAGAGATATTAAAATTGATTTAATGAAATGTATTGATTTCTTTGTTTATCTAAAAATACTAAGGATAGCAACAAGTGTAATGGAAAATATTGAAGATTAAAGTTATATAATTGTAGAGGATTTAATCTTACTTCTTACTTATATTATAAATGCGATAGTTTAGATGGATGTTTGTTAGAGTTTGGAGTCTAAACGGCTGAACGGATCTTGATGAAATTTCGCATAGATGTAGAGGATAGTCTGGAAGAACACATAGGCTACTTTCGTTTTTTTTAATTCCACGCAAACGGAGTCGCGGGCGAAATCTAGTTGAGGTATAAATGGATGTTTGTAGTGTCTGTTTATCTATCTGGGTTACAAGCGTGTGTTGTTATAAAAATGGGTAAATGTATTAGTAGAGAAATTTTACATTTTACAATAGCATTGCATCTTAATCACATTTTATTTAGATGTTGAGTTACAGAAACTATCTTATTTTGTACATCCTTATCTTATCGAGAATGATTAGATTGGTGTTTCATTAAAAAAAAGCCAAACGTATTTCTGCATTCGACATAAATATAAAAAATTAAATACAAAACTTATGACAACCTAAAGTATTGAAAGGAAACTTTGAATAAGGAGCACTCGAGTAAGGGTTTACAAAATCTTCATATAACTAAGTTGCTCCTTATAGTTGTAAACAGCGATCAGTAATCCCGTGGTAATAGTAATACTAATTATAAATGGAGAATTCAAGATGGATGGATGGATGTATATTACAGTTTGTAGTCTATCTGTAGAACTAATCGATGTTATTTGACATAGATGCAGAATATAGTCTGGAAAAACAAATAGGCTGTTTACGTTTGTTTTTTTTTTTACTTCCACGCGGGCAACTCGAGGGAGAAAGCTAGTATTGTTATAAAAATGTAATCACTAACTTAGGGTAAAGTCCGAGCTCCTCAGTGGAGAGGAATAGCTAACTTAACTAACCTGTGAAAGTAATTTTTACCACAACGAACACATCATCAGTAAGCTTTGTTCCCACTAAATTGATTTTAGTTTTTATTCTCTATTCTATTCAGCTTTTAGTTAATCAACGTAAAAACCTATTTCAACGGTCAATGTTATTTGAAATTGACTTTTATAACGAAATTTCCGTAGCACCAATTAACTTTTGAACGTTTGAGTTTTCGACACGCAATTATCATCGTGTCAACCGTCCGTAGTCACAACGCAAACCCAACCAAAGGATTTCCGACACGTAGCAAAATTCCCCAATTCCAATACCCAATTTGTTTGTCCGTTGCTTACAGCGGCTTGCAACGTATCGCTGCGAAATAACATAAATCGAAAACTAAAATTAACATGTACGTTATTCACGTGGTGGTAATAATCTGTAATTACACGCATCCATAGGCAGATTAAGACCGCGCACACCTTTGGCTAAACTATCGCACAACTGTTTAGCCGCGCCTAGATTTCTTTGAGCTAATCGCATGCAACTATACAATGTGCGATAGTTGTGAGGTAGTTTAGTCAAAGGTGTGCGCCTGCTCTAGCTTTGTCCGAGGACCCATCAATTACCGCGCTGCGATACACGGCCCACGCAGCGTACCGAAACAAATAATGTTTGTGGTTGCAGTTGAAAATTATTAATCTACATTCCCTCTACATTTAGTGTTTATTTTGTCGCAAACGTTATTGTTCATTCCAGGGTGGTGTCACAGTGAACACTGGCGTGTAACCTACAAGTTTGATTCCCGCCATGCCGCAACATCAATGTACTTTTTTATTTTTTCAAATCTTTGATTTTGTAAACTAACGTAATCTTAATATCACAAAGGGCAATGAAAATTAACTGCAACCATAAGAACTAATAACCATTTAAATCGAGTTTCCGAGTGGCCAGAGAGAGGCGGTTAGAATCGGCTTAGAGTCTCGGAAGTTCAGTGAAACCCGAGTTAAATCTCATTACTGTGGTCACTCATATGGAGGCTTACTGCCACACGATTTCGTACTAGGATATGTAGTTGGTATTTTCACTGCCGAAACACCTGAACAAGAATATTTATCGGGATTTTTTAAAACAAAACAAATTTCACGTTTAGCAGGTCATGTTAGACATTTCGTTATATATTTTTATGTAGCAAATTGAATATTAAAGGTCAAACTAACTTATATATTATTTGATTATTCAGAGTACTATTTTCTACTCAAAGCGTGTGGGTGTCTTAGACGTCTTTTATGTTAAAGCAAAGGTTTACAAGGTTCATGCTTCGTTTACTTTTCATTTAGAGAAACTTATTTGAGTTCGTACGTTGATAAAAACCGTTGACATTTCATGTAAGACACGTTTTCAGACCTTTGAGGAAAATAAGATGTCATTAAATGATTGTAAATAGTATATGTTGTATTGTTTGGAAGAGACCCGTTCAGATTTTGTAATTTTTACATTTTTATTTTAGTCATTACATTAATTAGACGCTATAGAAACTTATACATCTATGTATGTATTCGTTAAATCCTCGACATATTCAAATGGAGACCGCATCAAGTTGATGAGGAGCTATATTCAGGTCTATTCATACGCTTCAAAAGACATTTCCAGCGGGTACCGGTCGGAAATGACGCATTCAACGCAAAATGGCGTCGCAGGAGAGTCGGCAGCGAGCTAATTGCCGCGGTGTTGCCGCGCTGCTCCCAATGCGAACGCGAACGAATGATTTCAATCGTCTAATTAGATTTAGTCGGGACTGGTTCGGCGCTCGGTGTTACACCCCTTTTCCACTAACCGATTGTCTGTGCACGACTCTCACTTCTATGGCATTCTGTGTAGCGATATTGGACACGTAGCAGCAATAGGCATTAACGGAAAAAGGGTTTTACCACCCAGTTGATTGCTATACGCAAATGGGTTATGTTTTAACGATTACCTGTTAAAAGTGTTATTGAATTTTGAATAGCGATCTGTTTTGATACTATGTTAGGGATTGTTTGTTAAAAAAGTCTAGCGCAAAAAACAAAGCTTTGAAAAAACAACAGGCATAGCTTTTAAAAAAACAAGGATTAATAGATTTCTAAAAAACGTTTATTTAACTTTCAAGTGAAAAATCAGAACAATTAATAAATTTTTGTTTAAGTATGTTTTAAATAATAGATAGTAAATAGTTTAGGGCAAAATAGTGCTAGTGATGGGTCCCACTCCCACGTGATTTTAAAAAAAAATATTCTGAACTTTGAACCTTACCGATTAACGTTTAAAACGAAACGTACAAAACAATATCCCACATTTACCGTTATTTTTGAGGATCAGAAGATCAAAGGATCGTAATGAGTAAGGGTCGGTCGGTGTTTGTGAAACCGAATATTTTGAGTGTTCCAGATTAAAGTTATACAAAGCGATTGTGGTTCTTTGGCTAACGGAATATGATAGTGTTCTCTGAAGAGTTTGTTAAAAAAAGTAATAATAAGTACCTTTTAACCTTAAATCTTAACTTTTTATTGCATTTTATAGGACTCAAACAGACGAAAGCCTAGAGAATAGGAATAATTCCTATTATATTTTAAACTGTGCAAGTTTTCGTTTATTTTTTCTAGATTATTGTTTTAATAACAAGCTGTCGCCTGCAAAGTTCGTTTGCGCAATTTGGACCACCCGTTACACTATTTTGACAACGCGAAATTAAAAAAGTACCCTATAAAGTGTCCGTCTATGTCAACTACCCTTCAGTGAAAGTCCAGAAGAAATCGACCTAGCCGTTTCAGAGATTACCCGGAACAAACGCGGCTCGCAGACAGACAGGCAGACAGACAATTTTTTTTAATGGGATTTTTAACATTTTTCAAAAAACGGGAATTTTTCAGACAAACAGACACTCTATTTTTATTATATGTATAGATAGATAGATAAAAACTGTTGAGTCTCGCCTTTACTACAAAAGTGTGTTAGATGTCATGTAAAACCCAGTCATTTTAGTTAGTGTCTATTATGTATCCTGGTAATTACAAGGCGTCATCATTTTAAAGAACACCACTTACTATTAATTCCATTTCTAACTAAACCTAAGCAAAGCTTTTTAAAATAACGTAATTTGATTTTAAAAATAAAAAAAATATTAGTTATTTAATTTAACAATGTATACTGTATACATGTATTAAAAAATCTTGCATTCTGCTAGCTTTACGTGGACGCGACACATTACCCGGCTGACGATATTGGCTCCGCTGCATGCGAGTGGCTCAGCTGAAGAGATCCTTTATTAAATTTCAAATAGCATCCGGTGTGCCGCCGCCAGCTATAACTAATGAAAATTCACATATATGTATCTCACGTAAACATTATTCTCCTGACGTTCTACGAAACCATTCGGCAGACTTCCGTGCTTTAATAATCCAAGACGTTTAGAATTTTATTAAATTTATAGCGATGTATATGATTTCATTTTGCGGTTTTAAAAGAAAATAATATTAATATATAATACTTACGAACCTAGGCCTGAGAAAAAAGAAAAATTGAGAAAAGGTCGAGATCTCTGTCGATTAAGTCTTGTTACCAAGGAGTAGATAATAGTGTAAATGTATGATGTAAATACATTCATACTAGCTTTCGCTCGCGATTCCGTCTGCGTGGAATTAAAAAAAAACCAGGAGTGAGTCTTTGTGTACTTCCAGACTATCCTCTACATCTATACCAAACATCGAAATCAGCTCAGCCCTTTATAAACTCTAACAAACATCCATTTATGGTTTCGCATTTATAATATTAGATGTTTAATCTAAAATTAAATTTTTATCAGACGGAATGTCTTTTATCGACAACGATCATGAATCGTACGAGAATGGAGTGACGTGCCGAAATCTATATATCAAAAATAAAGCGTTTCTTCTGTCTGTATCGTTGTCTAATCACATCATGTAACGATCTGATGTTGACGCGCTTAGTTCAAGAGTTTCACGCGTGATCCTGATGAATTTATTTTTAGACAAATCACCAGGCAAAGTAAGCAAAAAATATATGTGTATAAAATGATCTCTTCGGTTAGAGTCACTGAACTAAATAATGTCCCTTATCTTCCAAGCAAAAGTTTATATTAGGTTTTCTTTTATTACCTAACTTATTTTCCGTTGAGTCCGGTTCAGCAAATCTTGTTCACAAATATATTGGAAAACTGCTTCTAAAATAGTTTTTATAAAACATTCTTTAAAAATTCTCAAGTATTTTAAGTTAATAATATGATATCGGATGCCATAAAATATTAACTCTTGAAAATATCTTTTAAGCATAGTAAATACAAGTTAAGTCGAATTTAGTAACGGTTTTTTTTTGTAACTAATTTGTCTCATTGTTCATTTGTTTCTTATGATTACAACCAAATTTTTTGTATTACTATAACGAGTTATTTTAAATGTTTACGTTTATGTTCGTCATTGTGTATAGAAAAAAGTTTTAAATAAAAACTATTCATTCAATATTTTCATTTCTGATTGTATTTTCGGTAGCTCATTTAGTCTTTTGTGACTCCAAAAACTGTACCGTGCCGTGTAACTTCACTTTTCTTTGTTGCGAGACAAAGTTTATATTAGGTTTATTTTTATGACGCCCGAAAACTTTTGCAGAAGAATTTGTGAAGTCAGTTACAGTCTGGTTACGGAAATTGCGTAATCTACCCAAACTGCATACAATTACTACATTGTACAAAAGTTGTTTTGTTTTGAATAAGTTTTTCTAGATTTAAAATACAATTCGGGATTTTTTCAATGTTGTATTTTTGTGGATAATAAGCACAAAAAGACACCTGAATTTCATTTATTTTTGATTGATGTTTCTAATTATAGTCTAGGTTCTCCGAAAGAGCATACTCTTTTCTTATAAGTCGACAACAGTTCCGTAGTTCTTTTGGTGTTACAGATGTCAACTGGTGTCTGATTTATTAACATTAGGCGATCCACTGCTGCAAAAAAGTTGTGAAACGAATTGAAATAATTGGGGCATAGGAATATAAACATTAAAATTGCTCAATTTACTGACTAAATTCGCTTGATTGATTGTGTTGGCTTATAGCAAACAATCTATATGGTAATAGGCAACGGCAGGCCGATCTTTTTTAGAGGCCGCATCCTTATTATGTAAATCCAGAGTACGGGTGAGTTGCCTAATCCGTAATCGGACGATGTCGATATTGTTCAGATTGTTCCACCTTTATTGGGGGATAGGAATATCGATTTTCCGACTTACCGCTTGTAAGGCGATTTATTTAAGCAGCAAGGATTCGACATCTCAAGGAGCGTTCGTATTTTCTTAACACTGTAAAAATGTTGGAGCAGAGATGGGTATATATTATTTTATACAGAGTTGGCAAACAAACAAGCGATTTGATTTCGCTAAAGTTAACACAATTTTTATTTAATAATTCTGGAATAGATGGAGACCTTAAAAGGGCAGGAGAAGAATCAATTAAAATGTATAATCAGAGGAAAGCAATCACTTGTATGAACTGTGTTAGAGTAAGGTTAATACGCAAGAGAATATCTTCAATTTAAATGAAAATAAAGTAACAAGAATAAAGTCTACCTTCTTATATTATAAATACCTATAACAAGAATATCCTCTTAAACTTATGAAGGAAGTACAAGACAACAATTTAATATCTCATCTTGTAATATAAGGAAAATAATATTAAAGATGAATTCTATTCGAGGAAGATTTCCTCTTATTTTGTTTGTGTATTGAAGTTTATTTCCGCGGCATTACAAAGGAAAATCATTACGGGCTACAGCGTCTCGTTACAATCAGAAATAAAGGCACGTTAAAGTTCATCGGCGTCCGAACTTCTGTCCCCCGGGTTACTTCTTTGACAGTTCGCTTGAAGTTAGAACCTTATAAATAGTGTTCCCGAAGGAAGAAATTTTCAACATTACATTTTCGCGATAGTAAAAGGGCCTCATGGAACAAATTCGAACAGACTAAGTAGGCGCATGATAGTTTTTTGTCGTTCCCCTATCCCCTTTGGACATCTAACCGATAATATTCGATTTTATATCGTAAAAGGTGCGGTAGCTTTTAGCAGTTTCCAATAAGTTATGACAAGGGTAAACTACTTCGGATACCTCGGTTAAATTAAAATTGTTTTTCTTATATCGAGAATTATTTTAGCTACTTTGAGCTAAACATAACAGGTCAAGGACCCCGTGGCTTTTTACTATGAACTGAAGTCTAAACAAAAAAATGAAATGAAAACACAAAAACCTTTTTTTTAATATCATTATTAACATTCAGATTGAAAACTAAGAAGTAATAATGTACTATGTTGCTCGTAATCCAATAGACCTAGTTTTTAAAATAAATAGGTAAATGAATGAGTTTGCAACAAATATTAATAAAATATTTTTAAAAGAGAGGGAGCTAGGTTGCGCAGCTCGACTCCGGGGAAATCACTACCTTCAGTAATTATGTGTTTTTGTCTCTTCGCTGACATTTTTTTTGATTTTCTGCCACTAGTTAACAAAGAAATTCTCTTGAGCGGGCTGATATTTATAAAAAAAACTTTTTTCAATTTCCGATGAGTGTAATTCTTTTGAATACGTGACACAAATATGTTACTTATATAATATTTTATGTAGGTGATAGATAATTTAATACATTATTAATATAAAATGCTACAGACAAAAAAAACATTTTAATTTAACCACTTAAATAGTTTCAAGCTTTAACTCTTTGAAAGAAGTTTTAAGTTGTCACTGTTGGAAATCATATATATTCATTCCAAAATAGAATGCAAAAGATGTTATCGCAAGAGTGTTAACATTAAAATTAAATTAAAAAACCTGCATGTTAGAAATTAATAATGATTTAATGATTAATTATTGTCAGAATAAACAGAACACAAAGATTTAAATAATACATTTAAAAAACACACTAGTAAAGGTTATTTAGTTATAAAAAAAAATCATTAACAAATTAATTGATACGTGAATTAGGTTGTAACGTGGATCTGCGCGTCGGATTGAATTGTATTTCTTTTTTCTGTTGAACATCACTTGTATTTCCAACTTGTACTTTATCTGCATATTTAAATCCAGATCCCATTTTACTTGATGCGGACGCTATTATAGAAGCCATAGTATATGCAGGATGAGGTAAATCCGGGAGCTGGTATATGTGTTTGCGTTGCTTATCATTTTCGTGTTTTAAATCACTCACATTAGTTAACATTGTATCGTTTTCTACAACAGTGGAGTCAGATTCTGTTACTAATGAAGTGCTTTCAGAATTATGTAATTCACAACGATAATATGATAGTCTCAGATGGGATGAATCGTCTATAAATGATCCTTCGATGCTTTCGTTTGTAAAGTTGATATTTGAATTGGTTTCTAATCTTTCATTATTTTGAAAACTCATTTTATCGTCGATATAAATATGGTTGTTTTAATTAACTTGCGAGTTCGTTTGACAGCAGTTACTGTTACCCTCGATTTTTATTGTTTTAAATATTATGATTACCCGAAATTAAAATATTAAGCACAGACTAAATAACTTGATTGTAAAATTATATCTATGGTACAAAGTAATTTAGTTTTAAATTATGGATATTAATTAATCAGATTGTGCGAGAAACGTGAAGTTGAGATATCGATGCCAATATATTATTAAAAATATAATTTGTTTCCTTTTCTAAATTTCGATCGATCGTATGTTTCTACAGTATAGCAAGTTTTAGCTGTTGTTATATAAACATGTTATCATTACCTAAACGTTGGTTTCCACAGCCGAAATAGTCATACAAAAAATGTCATACCCATCATTCTCTTTGAACAAACTACGACAAAAATATTTTTTGTAGGAATGTGTGTGCAGTGGAATCTAACCTTTATCTTTTCTGAAGATGAATCATATTCATCTGATATCTTAAAATCATCGCAAATATTCGATATGTCAGAAATGAGATAAAAGTACCAGAAGCATTAGTCGTCTTAGGCTCAGATATTGACATGACAAGAATATCTTATCTGGACATATAAGATGTACTATAAAAGTATATATCATTTCTACGTCCTATCATTCTGATCGCATACATCAAGCATCATGAAGGTGGCTATAGTTCTTCTCTCTGCGGTGGCTCTCAGTCTCTCGGCTCCGCAGCCGAGGAAGATTTTCCACGAGCATGCCGAGGACTTCCTCGAGCTGATCAACGATGAAGCCGGCCACGAAATGATGCACCTGGTCGAACACTATATCGAGTTCGAAGAGTTCACCAAGTCTCTTGACTATATGGCCACTCCCAACTTCAGATCTCTCGTCTACGAAATGGAATCTTTACCCGAATTCAAAGCCGTGAGTAACCATAACTAAACATATAATCATCATATAAAATCATTATACAATGTTCTTTCATTTGCCAATGACTGTGTTAGATGCCAGTTATTAAGGACAAAAACGTATCCGCGGTGTCTCTTGTCATACAGATGCCCATAGGCGTCAGTTATCACCTCGATGTTTCCGCCGCTCGTTTGCCATTATCTCTTTTGTAATAAAGTTGCTAATACACTTATTTCCTTATATTTATTCCTTATTTTTGTTTTTGTTTGTCCTATTTCTTTAATGAAAGGTACGAAATTCATGACATCATATATTATAGTTACTAAAATTCGTCGTTATGATTTTTAACTAACTGAAGGATGTGCTTTGGATATTTCAGGTGATCGACTTCTTGGAAAAAGACAATATTGACATTATGTACTTCATCGAAAGATTGAATGAAATAATCGGTAAGTTTGCTTTATAAATTAACATACCAGATAATGGCGTTAGTTGCGAAATAGATGAAAATGATAAATGTCAGAGACACAAAATTTCGTTTAACGATTCATATAATTAAATAGAACTTAAACAAATAATAAGAGCTATATAGTCTAGCTATATCGAATCGTTCTCTTCCATCTAGATGTTATACAAGTGTAGTTACATTCTCCTAATCATTTTTTTTTTATGTAGACGACATCCAAAACGACAAAAGAGCTCGCCACTCATTGAGCGGTAGGGACATGACCGCTTTCATCAACGACTGCATCGCTGTCTTCCCCAAGGACAAGCTGACGGCACTCTACGAACAGAAGGTTGAGGAAGACGAAGAATTCAGAGTCGCCATGGAGAACCTGAACAGCGATGAATGGGACCAAGTGTGGAACGCCCTCTGGCAGAGTGAGACCTTCATCGAGGAAGCTAACATTCTTCTTGAGAATGGAATCGATCTGCAAGTACTCCTTCGAGAGGTTAAAGCTGTGTTTGGACAGTTCAAGAAATAAATTAATATTTATCAAATATTTTGAAGTGCAAGAATAAATAAAATTTAATTAAATTATCACACTCTTTAATTTAATTTAAGTTGACGCTCCAATAAGGTTAAGACATAAGATATATTGACCGAAAGGCTTATTTCTGTTATAAAACTATTGAATTATTTCAGTTATTGCAATGGAAGACTTATTCAGTCAATACTAATTAAGTCTTCCGTTGACAATGTATTTGTTTTGTCTAACGTAAATGCTATCCAACTTTCTTAATTTGAACAAGCTTATCATGAAAGAGTTTATTTAGCAATGTTTTCTTCTAGTCGAATGTTGTAAGAAAACCTTTCAAAATGTTATTCTCTCCAACGTTGCATCGTGAGTTCATTTGCTGTATTGTTCCTATTGTTCTAAATTATTGTTTATTGCCGACGTAATGTTGTTTTCTGATATAATTTATCCGTTGTTTGTTCTTTGAAACAATCGCTCGGAAGAATCGGGGTGCGCATCTCGGCCCGTCAAGTCGTACTCGTACTCCACAGTTTCTATTTTAAACAATTTTAAGACACCGACTGCAAGATGAGGAATGAGTTTGTTATTTCATTTTTCTTTTATATCGGATTTACTTCCGGACATACAGTTCCCACGAGCATTACTAAGGTGAGTTGTATTAGATATATTTTTAATATAACAAAATGTAATATTCGTAGAACTTTCACACCATTTAGTATAAAATAATTGTGATTGTTTTGTGCGATGCCATAATGGGGATTCTCATTGTGTATCTAACCTGTTTACAATACTGAGGAACTAACTAAAAATTGTCGAAGAAAAATATACTGCAGTAGAATATATCGTATGATTTATTTAAACGAACGGTGATTTGTCAGTTTTTTGTCTTTTAAAAACTTATGACTTGAGTAAATTATGATAATGTTTTTGTTCATGGATCAGTTGGTGTAAATAATCTTTAAAATGCTACATTTTTTTTCAGTTCACGACAGGGCACAGTGTGGCAAAAAATTCTGAAACGACAGATATTGATGTAACAGATACGCCTATTTTATTACCTGACGACACAACATTTAGAACAATACCTAAATTTGATCTCGAAGATCATAGAAACATTATTAATGACTCGGAAATATTAAGTCAAGGAGTTGATAGTCCAAATAATATAAATGGTCGATCATTCATTTTTATTCGTCAAAAGTTTAAAAGTCCTATGCTGAATTTATTTCACTCACAGATGCTGAATCCTAACGATGTGATAAACGCATCACCAAAATCAGCATTGTCTAATATAGACAACGATAAATTTGAAGAATTGAGCCGAAGATTTGCTACCTTGAATGTTGCCAATCCTCCCAAAGATAAAATTGCTATGGAAAAAATGTCCAAGACGCTTGATAAAACACAAGGGACTCTACTTAGCCAATTGTGCTATAGTAGGTTGAAGTTGGAAAACGATGGAATGGTAAATAAAATAAAAGACAAACTAAAAGTTCAGGATGTAGAAAAGGCTGCAAACGAACATCGTGAATATCTAGAGCTGCTAAAGCCCCCACTGTTGCGCAAAGCATATAATGAGGATGTTCCGAAACTAGCAATACACGAAATGGACCGTCAAAAGATTGAACCTTCTAATGTGTCGCCGTATGTACGTAACCAAGACACAGCTTTAACTTTCGCGAAAATATCATCAAACTTAAGAGATAGCTTTATAAAAAAGTATAACAAAGATAGTCGTTCTTACAAGCCTAAAGGTACTTATACTAAAAATAAAGTAACAAGCCATCAGCACAACAATCAACATAATCTGCACGATGTTACATTTCATAACGTGGAAGAAAATGTTGTGCGAAAAGGGAACGAAGAAAACACCGACGATTATAAAGGTATAGGTAAAATATCCAAAAACAATTTTGAAGCTAAAGCAAAAGATAATAAAATGAAACCAGCTCACGTAAATCGAATTCACTATTGTCATGATTGTGGAAAAAACGTGAATAGTGATCCTTATCATAGGAAGAGAATCGAAGCGGATTGCAAATGTGGTCGTCACGTTTATTTGAAAGGGCGCTCTGAATGGGAAGATCAGGAACCTGGTCCTATCACTCCGACTGACAAGCATCAAATAACAGTACGTTACAGCCCTACAGATAACAAAGAAGAGAAGGCCATGATAGATGTTGCGATAGCTAGAAATCCACATTTATATTAGTTGTCTGTATCCATGCGATTCTTGATAACAATTCGAATCTATACCTAATTGTGGCTACCATTAGGGATTTGTAAATACTTGTAAAGTAATAATAAAAGATGTAAAAGTCAAATAAACACGATAAAAACGCTATAGTTTAATTTTTTAAATTCTGTAGTTTGGGCTCAAAATTATTTTAGGTAAATACATAAATTGAACACTCTCGATCTTAAGTATTACTTCATTAAAATATGCATTGCCATAAACGGTTCAGATAACATATTTATTAAAAACTATGTACTTTGCCAATAACATTTCATGAACTGGATCTGGGCTTCTTATGATGAAAGAGGTTGGGAAATAATGAATACTGGATGATAACCTCTCGTTGGATAGTTTTTTATTTGAAGATTTAATTTTTCTTATGGTCAAAGAACTGTAGGTTGGAGCGTATTTAAAAGTAAGTTTTCAATAGGAAAGCGTAAGGCGTACGATCTCGATAAGAAGTGTACAAAGCTATCGCTTTTTTAGATCGCTGCGCGCGCATTCCCCTTCTGACTACAGCGTTTGTTGCTCTGAGAGATGAAATGTAAACACACCGGAATGGCTACAGATGTCCAGATAGCCAATAGAGATTGCATAGACATAAATACTTCTGGAAACGACAAAACATACGAGAGTCATATACATTTAATTAAATATTGAAGTATTAAAAAATATTAACATTAAGATCATCTTAAAAGGGACAGTTTTATTTCTATTGTACATTAATTTGATTTTAGAAATCCATGTCATATCTAGTTTTTTTTACATTCGTTGTACTCTTAGCCATATTTGTTGAAGGAGATGACTTTTGCTCGGACACGGACATCGTAGAATAATATTTGCGACTTCGAGTTGTCTATTTTCAATGTAACGATTGCGTTTGTTTGTGTTTGTGTTCACTTCTGATAATACTACTTAGTAAATACAAACAACTATTCAATTTGCCCTTAAACGTTTTCACTTCAGAGTGTTGTAAATAACGTTGACGATATACACGAGAAATTAAATGAACTGTGACATTTTTTCAACAGGTTTGTTTTGACAAGTCAACATTGATTTTTCTGCCTGATAAGTATCGAGAGAGTGCATCTTTCTTATTTTGATTTTTGATAATCTTAATCTTTGTTGAAGATAAATAATACGTGAGGTACTTGTGTACTGTCGATTGTCTTGTTTACTAGAAGGTAAAAAAGAAAATGAACTAGCTGTTCCCATGCGGCTTCATCCGCATGCAATTATAAAACTTATGGCAATCTTGCTTCCTTGATGCTGGCAGCTTGTACTGTCTGGTCTCTTTCCCACGTCAAGGTTTTTGACAATTTATTTACGCTTTATTATATTAGTAAGTATAGAAGTATAGATATATCCATTCAGCATAGCAAACACAGTAAAAAAATTATTCATTACTTTTATATTTACTAATGTGTGTATGTATATATATTTTTTTTCTTTTTTGTGTATCTTTGTAACATTCTTCCGTTAATCAAATTTGTTTTCAACTGTGTAATTAATTATATAGTGTTTGCTTTATGAATGGATTAAATGATGATGATGATGATTATTATTATTATTATATATCTTTATTTCTTACTCTCTATATAATACGTTTTACAAGAATATAAAAATTAAAATAAAATATATTATATAAAAAATAGAGCACCACCGGCTGCGGAATCCGATGACTCAAGCAACCAGTGGTCAGGGCTGCAGAGACAGGAACCTCCTCACTATTCGTGCGGTTTCTAAAATAACCGCCTTTTGAATCGGGCCCTTAATCCAACTGTCTAGCGAGAGCTTCTTGAGGTGTTGGTCGAAGCTCTTATTATTATTATTATTATATAGATGTCAATCTCTTTTCGCTGCGCTCCTAAATGGTGATATGTAGAAGTAAAGTTGTTTATGTTTTGTTGATTATATTTTTTAATATTTCAATAGTGTAATGCAAGGAGGATGTTAAGTGAGGTACTTACCGTGATATACTGCGCCCAGGGTGAGATAAAGTACCTCGGTACATCTGATATTTACCCGCGTGTCGTGCACGGAGGTAACAAATACTTTCTTTACTTTATTAACACATGCTATTTAGAAGAGATGTTTTTATTTAATTTTTCAATTCAGTGGATATCAGGTATAAAATAGTCATTAAAGCATTAGAGTATGCGTTTATGCATTAGCATCTATGATTACGTAGATACCAAAATGAGTTATCTTCTAGTTTGAAGTAAGTATAAAGGATTTTGTAACCTCAATAGTTTCAAGTTCCATCGTCAAGATCTTCCTCCTTATCATATCCCCGTAAGGTCGGCGCAACGGGTTTTTGTCCTCCACATACGTCATCCCAGTCATCACTCACTTCTTAATCATGTCACTTTTGACGCAATCCATCCGGAAGAGGGAGACCTAGAAAGAGATTCTAGGAGCAAAGGTGCAAATGTGCAAAGGTACACCGGAGGAGATCCCTCTTCCGGTGTACCTTTGCACATAACATATATAAAACATAACGTGAGTTATAAAGTACTTTCAAAGTATTATAGTTACCTCAATCTAAGTTTCAAGTTCATTCTCTAAGTTTATATAATATTGTTGTTTAGAACGTGTGGTAGGTGGAAGTACGACTTAATCGAGTTCGCCTCCCGCTTGTTGTTAAATTCGATGAATTTCATTAAAGGTACGTTCCACTTGTATGCAATTAACGCAGTGATCTCAGATATTACAATCGTAGAATTCTCTCTGTAGTTCTATTCTAAAAAGGCAATTAAAAGACAGTATGTATTTTCTAGTACAAGTGTTAAGGCAGTAAAGTTCTACGCTAATAGGCGTTTGTCTCATTGTAAAGAGGAAAGATTTGTATTTTTTTAATGAACTCGGAAGAAGTCGCGAGCAACAGCTAGTGTAAAATAAAACAATATCAATTTTACTTCTTTCTCGACTGTACATCGCTCTTACTCCTTTGAACTTAATCTATTGAAAAGTTGAGATCGGAAAATAATGAAATGGTATTGGAAATTTATTGCACCTACACTGTAGCAGGGTTCTTGAAGTTCTATCATTTTATATAACATCCCGTCTAAGCTAAGATACTTGTACACTCGAGCTCAAAACGAGCACAAATATAAACAGAGTATGTATTTTTAGGAATGGAAATAAAAATGGTCTATTCAATGACATGTAATTAAAAAAAAATCTTTTATGATGAGCCATAATTCATTGAATTACTTGTACAATAAACGATAGCGGTTACTATTAAATCGATAATAGAAATAATAAATACCACAGGGAAAAACTATTTTGATAATATTGTTATCCAATTTTTTTTCTTGTTCCAATGAATACGTTCATGAGTGTATCAGCAGAAGCGAGGAGTTTTACTTATTGTGAGAAAATTACGTGCCCGGAATTACTGACATGAGTCTTATATGATCACGTATTTGTTCTATTTGCTGGTTCGTTGGCACTAATACTGAATCTGTAGACCTTGTTCGATACAACACGTATAAAGTTGTATTGTGAAGGATAAGTAAATGGACGCATATTCGTTATTGTTTTAACACATCAAAGGCATCTTAATTTAGAACACCTAGGTTATAAATAATCATAATACTTATATGATACTTAATTTTACTAATATTATAAATGCAAAAGTTTAGATGGATAGATGTCTGTTAAAGTTTGTAACTTTAACGACTAAACGGATTTCGATGTAATTTGGTATAGATGTAGAGGATAGTGTGGAAGAACATATAGGCTATTCATTTTTCTTTTTTTTTAATTCAACGCGTACGGAGTCGCAGGCGAAAGGTAGACTAAGTATAAATAATGTTATTGATGTTATAAAAGTCCATGTGTGTGACCGGAAACTCAGAGATAACCAGACATCTTAAAGCTTTTCTTGTAATGACCACAAAGAAGTGTGTGTTAAGGTCCGTACTGACTATATTACTCTGTGTTATGTGACCTGTTACCTACATTCGCATTAAACAGCTCGATGCACGCTAGTTTCCCTGTCTATGTACTGACTGTAGGATTACACACCATTGAATAAGTTGATTACACCGTGTAACAACGATCAGCAAGCATCATAACTTTAAACAATACCATTCCATCAGATTCATAATTGTTTTTTGCCATTCATTAAAAACGATATCATCTTAGAGGTTAGTTTTAGAATCGTATTAAGTACACAAAATGTATGCTCGAGTATTTCTCTTGTAAGTTTTTAGTAGTGCAGTATAAGCATTGCTTAGTGAGGTAGTTAGCGTGATATATGGCGGTCGGCACAAGACAAAGGAGCGCGGTGCATCTGATAGTTGGTCGGCTGTCGGCGCACGCCGCGGCCCCTTTGTCTCGACTGTTTAACACGTGGTTAGTTCTGGAGATGCTGCTTTTTGCTTTTCAAATATAAGTGTAACTTTTTTAATGCAGATTTTAAAATAAGTGGAATATCTTTATATGTACTGATCGTGAATCTAATTAAGTTACTTAGTTACTTTGATTTTTCGGGTTTCTTTGTCTGTTAATATTTATTTCATTTATAAATATTATAACGAGGAAAGATTTGAATATTTGTATGTATTGAAAAAAAGTAAAAACTACGGGGCCAATTTCAAAAATTCTTTTACCGATAGATAGGTAATTTATCTCTTAATAATGCTATATTTTTCAGTTTCATGCGGACGATGTCAAGGTCAACAGCTAGTCTATAATAAATATGGTAGAAAATTTAACAACAAACAGTTCTGCAACTTGATCTAACGATTAAAATGTTTGCGGCAATTTCTATTTTACAGGTACGTGTATCGCACTGGACTGAACTGAAGCACTGCTTGCAACGCAAAGTACACAATTCAAAAAATTATGCGGCAATAAATTAAAATTTACCCTATAAGCGTTAAATTTTCGCCGCTGTGTTGCCAACGTTTGCACACTAGCTGCAATCATTCTCTTTTATTGCCAACATTTAAAAACACCACAATACATTTAATCACTAGACTAATTAATGTCGAGCTACACTTCGTTTTTAAAAG